GGATACAAGCAAGAATATGGAGTTGATTATGCTGAAGTCTTTGCACCTGTTGCAAGGCTTGACACCATTCGTTTGGTGGTATCATTGGCAGCACAGAACTCTTGGCCAGTTTATCAACTTGACGTGAAATCAGCCTTCTTGCATGGTGAGTTAAATGAGAAAGTTTTCATTGACCAGCCTCCAGGTTATGTGCAAAAGGGGAATGAGAAGAAGGTGTTCAGACTGAAAAAAGCATTATACAGACTGAAACAAGCACCCCGAGCTTGGTACAGTCGTATAGATGCTTACTTCTCTAAGGCAGGATTCCAAAAGTGTCCTCATGAGCATACTTTGTTCGTCAAATCTGGAGAAGGAGGTAAATTTTTGATTGTCTGTCTGTATGTAGATGATTTGTTATTCCCTGGAAATGATGAAGCCATGTTTGTTGAATTTAAATCATCTATGATGAGTGAATTTGATATGACTGATTTGGGAAAGATGCGTTACTTTCTTGGTATTGAGGTAGTGCAATCATCTTGTGGAATCTTTATTAGCCAGAGGAAATATGCTCAGGAGGTTCTGGAAAGATTTCGAATGTCAAATTGTAATCCAGTCCAAAATCCAATTGTACCAAGCTTTAAGATTACAAGAGATGCTGAAGGAGAGAGCTTTCATAGCACGTATTACAAGCAAATCATTAATAATAAAGACGTGGTTGATGCAGTTTCCAAGGTAAATATTATGTGACTATAAACTGGTAGATAGTTATCTCCGTTAATGTAACATCTTCATAGAAATTAAGTCAACAAAATTCTACTCATACATTGTTGTGACTATAAACTGAGCTTACTTATGTTTTAACATCTATTTTGGCTCTCTGGTTCCTCTAACTTAGTTGAAATTGTAATGAACAAGGCTTAATCAGATATAATTTGGCCAATTCAATATTCTCAGGTGGCTCTAAAGTTTGTCTACTTGGCTGTGGGAGCTGCTGCAGCTGCATTTCTACGTAAGTACACTGAACTGCCTGCTGGTGCATCAAACAAATAATTTGGCTTTTTGGCAACTGAGATGATAAGCTTTTTCTATATGCCAGAGATGTCTTGCTGGATGGTCACTGGAGAGAGACAGGCTTCTCGAATAAGAAGTTTATACTTGAAAACAATATTGAGGCAAGATGTTGGCTTTTTTGATAAAGAAATCAACACTGGGGAAATTGTTGGGAGGATGTCAGGTGATACTGTGCTCATTCAAGAGGCCATGGGCGAGAAGGTATTTACATGCCGCACAAAAGCCTTTTAAGTTATTGCCATTTGATCCAATAACCTCTTATTTCTTTCATTTTCTTATTGCAGGTAGGAAGTTTTATCCAGTTAACTGCAACATTCGTAGGAGGCTTCGCTATAGCATTTATTAAGGGATGGCTTCTCACCCTTGTCATGCTATCTTCTATCCCCCTTCTTGTCCTCTGTGGTGCCTTAATGGGCATCCTTATTTCAAAGATGGCATCCAGTGGACAAACTGCTTATTCAGTGGCAGCAACTGTGGTAGAGCAGACAATTGGTTCAATCAGAACAGTCAGCCTCCTTGTCTTTAAAACAAAAATTTATTATTTCTATTTTCTTAGTGTAGAACTAAAACTGATTGGTGTTCCCAATTCAGGTTGCATTGTTTACAGGAGAAAAGCAAGCTATAGCTAATTACAACAACTCCTTAATTAAAGCTTACAACTCTGGTGTGCAAGAGGGTTTAGCATCTGGGTTCGGAATGGGTACAGTTATGCTGATTATAATGTGTAGTTATGCTCTGGCTATATGGTTTGGCGGAAAGATGATACTTGAAAAAGGATATACAGGAGGGGAAGTCATTAATATAGTTTTCGCTGTGTTGACTGGCTCCATGTAAGTTGCATTTTAGTAAAATTTAATGAACAAATTTGTTGATCCTAGTACTATTGTACTAGTTGACATGTTTGCATTTTTGCGTGATCTACTGCCTACTCCCCTTTCCTCCTTCAGTCCAAAATTTGATATGTGATTCTTCAGAAGATCAAAATATAAGCTTACTAAGATAAATTTTCAGGTCTCTTGGGCAGGCATCTCCATGCTTGAGTGCATTTGCTGCTGGACAAGCTGCAGCTTATAAGATGTTTGAGACAACTGACAGAAAGCCAGAGATTGATGCTTCTGACACTAATGGGAAACAATTACATGATATCCGTGGAGACATAGAACTTAAGGATGTTTATTTTAGTTATCCTGCAAGACCGGATGAACAAATATTCCATGGATTTTCTCTCTCAATACCTAGTGGTGCAACTGCTGCTTTGGTTGGAGAGAGTGGAAGTGGTAAATCAACTGTAGTCAGTTTGATTGAGAGATTTTATGACCCCGTAGCTGGCGAAATTCTTATTGATGGTATTAATCTCAAAGAGTTCCAGTTGAAATGGATCAGACAGAAAATAGGGCTTGTCAGCCAGTTACCCGTTTTATTTACTTGTAGCATTAAAGATAATATTGCCTATGGAAAGGATGGTGCAACCACTGAAGAAATAAGGGCTGCTGCTGAGCTTGCCAATGCTGCTAAATTCATAGACAAACTGCCGCAGGTTAAATTCATTTAAACTTTCATCTAAGTTCTGGTATTTTGTTCTCTAAACTTTTTGGGTGAATTCTCAATTTCCACAACCATGGAAGCTTACTGAGACATCCAGTGATCTTATTATTTTCAAAGATGGAAATACAGAGATATCACATGAATTTTCTAAAAACTCGGATTATTTCTATCAACTCATTCAATTCCTTTTTTCCTTATTTGTGGTTTTGTGATTTATGCATTTAGAGACTGGACACAATGGTTGGTGAGCATGGAACTCAGCTATCTGGAGGCCAAAAGCAGAGAGTTGCAATAGCTAGAGCAATTCTCAAAGACCCAAGGATTCTACTTTTAGATGAAGCCACGAGTGCTCTTGATGCAGAATCTGAGAGCATTGTGCAGGAGGCACTGGACAGAATTATGATCAACCGGACTACTGTCGTTGTAGCGCACCGCTTGAGCACAGTAAGGAATGCTGACACCATTGCTGTTATACATCGAGGAACAATTGTTGAAAAAGGTAATGCATTTGTTTATGTTGTACCATTTGAAGGCCAAACTGTATTGTCGATAGTTCAACATAATGTTACAATTCATCTTATTCGTAGTCCACATACTGATCGTTTTTAAGTGAGCAGGTCCACATTCTGAGCTAATTAAGGACCCTGAAGGAGCATATAGCCAGCTTATAAGGTTGCAAGAAATGAGCACCGTGTCAGAACAGACTGCTGTAAATGAACACGAAAGGTTTAGCAGCGTGGATTCTCGAAGACATTCAAGTCAAAGATTTTCAAACTTACGATCCATAAGCCGGGAATCATCTGGAAGAGGAAATAGTAACCGTCATTCCTTCTCAATCTCATACAGTGTGCCCACTGCAGTCGGTTCTCTTGAAACAGCATCAGCAGGACATGATATTCCTGCTTCAGCATCATCAAGAGTGCCTCCAGAAGTCTCACTTCGCCGCCTGGCTTACCTGAACAAGCCAGAGATCCCAGTATTATTACTAGGTACTATAGCTGCAGCAGTCAATGGGGTAGTCTTACCCATTTTTGCGATATTGATATCCAGTGTAATCAAGACCTTCTACGAGCCACCTCCACAACTCCGTAAGGATTCGAAGTTTTGGGCATTAATCTTCATTGTTCTTGGGGTGGTGACTTTCATAGCAATGCCAGCAAGACAATACTTTTTTGCTGTGGCGGGGTGTAAGTTAATAAAACGAGTTCGGTCAATGTGCTATGAGAAGGTGGTTTACATGGAAGTAAGTTGGTTTGACGATCCTGAGAACTCAAGTGGTGCTATTGGTGCAAGGCTTTCTTCAGATGCAGCTTCTCTGCGTGGGCTGGTTGGAGATGCTTTAGGTTTGCTGGTCGAGAATTCAGCAACTGCAATTGCTGGTTTGTGTATTGCTTTTGTGGCATGTTGGCAACTTGCTCTTATAATCCTTGTTTTGCTGCCTCTATTAGGATTAAATGGTTATGTTCAAGTCAAGTTCATGAAAGGATTCAGTGCAGATGTAAAGGTATTTCTCCGAAGTCCAAACTTTACAAAATTTTACAGTATAGAACTTGTAGCTGGTGCAGTCAAAACACCATCCAATACGACATACATAATATATATAAGACCAATCCTTTTTGTCAATGCTGAAAATTTTAAATTGTTTCAGAAAATGTACGAGGATGCAAGTCAAGTAGCCCATGATGCAGTGGGGAGTATTCGAACAATTGCTTCCTATTGTGCTGAAGAGAAGGTGATTGAATTGTACCAGAAGAAATGTGAAGGCCCTATTAAGACAGGGATAAGACGAGGGTTAATCAGCGGGATAGGTTTTGGGCTATCCTTCTTTTTTCTTTTTTCTGTGGATGCCTGCAGTTTTTATGCTGGAGCCCGACTTGTTGCAGCAGGCAAGACAACATTCTCTGATGTTTTCCGGGTAAGGATTTTTGCCTTGCGCTACAAGTATTTGAGTAAGTAAATAGATGAGAAAAAATTAGCAGAGGATCCGAACTCAGCTAAAAACATGTTACTTGAGAATCAAATCTTCATTAGTCCATTCAGTCCATTGTTAACATTTCCCCGGTTTGCAGGTTTTCTTTGCTCTTGTGATGACAGCAGTTGGAGTGTCTCAGTCAGGTTCCCTAGCCCCTAATCTTGGTAAAGTAAAGAGCTCTGCTGCTTCCATATTTGCCATTCTTGACAGGAAATCGAAAATAGACTCTAGTGATGAATCTGGAACAACTATAGAAAATGTGAAGGGAGAAAT